CCCCGGCCCTGGGTGCCTGCGCCGGCACAGCCCCATCCCCTCCCCCGGCTTGGACACACAGGGTGGCACTGCTCGCGTCCCCGCCGTGGAGCCAGTGCCACCCCCCAGGGATGGTCAGGACCAATATATCTAACAGAAGAAATGGACTTTTTTAAGAATGTTTCTACCCAAAGCTTCCTGTAGAAGCAGAGTTTATTCTTGTGAGAAATGCAATAAATATCTAGCGTTTGCAAAAAAGTCCCCCCTGGGTTTTAAATCCGAGCCCCGGGCTGCCGTCAGGGCCAGGGCTGTGGTGCTGTCACCCCGGGCTGGACTCGCGCAGCCTGGCCGCGCAGCTGTCGGGATGGGTTTAGCTCAGCGCCGCGGCCCTTCGCTCCCCAGCGCCCTGCCCGCCGCTGCCAGACCACCGTGGAGCGATGGCCTCGGGAGATGCACCCGAGCCAGGACATGGGGCATCGCTGCCACTGGACCCTGATTTTTGGTGCCTGGTGCCTCCTTGCCCAGCGTTGCACTGGGGCTGATTGAATCCAGAGAGCTCAGCCCCGCAGCGATGGTTTGGGACGTCTTGGGGAAGGTTCAGTGCCTCAGAGCAAGAGCAGGGAGAAGGGGTGGTGGAAGAGGTTCAAGGAGAGGGTTTGTTGGAGCCGAGGGGTTTGGCTCTCCGCGGGGAGCGGGGCCCTACAGGGAGCTCACACCCCTCTTTCCTGGGCAGCCTGGGGCCAGCTGGAGCCCTGCAACAGGTCCCTGGCCAGGGGCTTGCCTGGGGGGGATTGCTCTGCCCGTTTGGTATAAAATCGCAGTAATTAAGTCTCATTTACAGTGCTCAAGTACAAAGTAGAAGAGTAAACAGTGGTGGCTGTTTGCATTTATTCATCGGCGAACTAAGCAATTCGGATTGCAGAGCCAGGAAGGAAGAGCACAACTGTTCCCCCCACCACAGCCCCACTCGCTCACAGGGCATCGAGCTCCTGTTCCCAGGCCAGCAAGGCAGGCAACCTCCCAAAATAAAGTTATTTCCCCCATGGCATTGGGCCAGGGGTAAAAACGGACTCAGCGATGCTTCGCTGAACTCTCTAAGTGTATCAAATGGCTGCCGCTGCCAGAGGAGGCTGCGGGGAGAGCCCGGGGCCAGGGGATGCACTCAGCTCTTGGCTGCCTCCATCACCGGAGCTGAGCCGTTCAGGTTCACAGCACCCAAAAGGCTCCCTGGAGTCCGCTCTGGGCCTCTCCTGGGGGTGGGTGTATCGTTCACAGCAGCAGGTTGTTCGGGATCTCCCTTTCCCAGGTTTTGCTGCACAAATCTCATCCTTCCAGGGGAGCCCCCCCAAGGCCTCGACAGCCCAACTCCTGCCACCCAAGGGGGGTGGCAGCAGCTGCCACGCACCCCTCAAGATGCAGGAGCTCGCTGGCTTTGAACGGCTCCAGCAAAGTTGGAAGTCTCGAGCCACTAACATCGCTGCCCGTCTCCTCTGCCTGCACTGGCACCCTCCGAGCCTCTCGTTGCCCGCAGAGGGGGGCCAGGGTGGGCAGCCATGGGGGCAGTGATCAGTGAGGGTTAAACACCCCACCAGCACCCGGGAGGCGCAGGAGGGCCTCGGCCCCAGCAGCCCAGCAC